TTTTTTTTTTTTTTTTTTTTGCGTTATCTCTGATCTTTGCCTGGAGATTCGAAGCATGTAGAAATCATTCTTTGAAACGCGGACAGTACGATGCCACGGAAAGTCGATCGAGACTTTCGGTACTATACTTTCCCCCAAAATTTCATCCCCATTCCTCGCCTTTTCACGCAGTCTTCGCTCGTTTGTCGAGCACACGGACGTTACGTTCGCGAAATGAGAGCTACACGTCTAAAATTATGGAAGGCTCGCCTAGCTTTGCCAGGCCGTCGATTTACGCGTGTACATAAATAGCCGTATAAATTAATTAAGTACAAAAACTACAAACTTATTAACAAAAAACATTGGCAAGACTGAGGTTCAACCAAATCGAGAGTTTCCCCTTTTTCTTTTCCTTTTTTTTTTTTTTTGTTCTCGTCTTGGCCCGTTCAACGGAATACGCAACTGTATCTTTGACATTCTTTGATAGGAAAACGCAAACAGTGTGATCTGGGAATCGAATTATTCAGAGTTTTCTTCTCTTTTTCAAATGAAATAATAGCACGAGATAGAATGATAATTAAACCGCGCATGCCTATGCAAATTTATTTTAGCGAAAGTAACTTTAAAAATATGATCTGAATAGAAATTTATTTCGTCTCTCAATTAAATATCGCAATTTCTACTCTGAATATTTTGTATATATTTTGTGTAGATTTTTGGATCTTTAAGATTTCCACATAAACACAAGTCTGACGATGATAGATAAGCGCAAAAAGAATTTGCCACGCATTAATACGTTATATACTATGATAATTAGGATTTTCAGTATGTGAAAACATTTCGCGATGACATAATTCGATTCCTCGTCTAGTGCGGCGAACATTGAACGTTTCTCTAATTTCCCACAATTTTTCCCCATTTTCAGTTCCGCGTACATGAATCTTAAATATCTTTTAGAAGAATACCGCACCTTAAGTTACCTAACACATATCACAGAATCATGTGTATTCCATTTAAAAAATGATTACACGCACGAAAACGTAATGATACGATTAACTCCTTACGAGAATGCTCCGCGATTCGATACCCGATTATAATCCGGTATCATTATATCGCAAGGTGTTAACAAAGAAAGAAAGAATAAAGCAACGATAGTACATACAGCACGATCACACGATATACGCAGGCCTAGTTAAAAATTAAATTTCGTACATGCGTTTCTCGTAGCTCGATCGAGGCGATTCGTTTTGTGCTCCTCGACGGAATCTATATTACTCCTTTTCTTCTCGCTTGAAGGATGGAGGATGGCAGTGTGGTTACCGCGTCCCTTCAGCAAGAGCGATTCGAGTATTTGCTTGAAAAGAATTTTTGTGGAAGGCAGGGCACCTCAGTGTATCGTAATTATTTTTAATAATTACAAGAAAATAGAAGGGAAACTTACAAACACATGTATAAGATTGGGCTTGAAGGGACGTGTTAGCCACACTCCGAATGAATGGCTGATCATGAAACCAAAATATTATTGATATGCTAATTACAAACGTAATCGTTAAATTACAATCTTTCGGCTGACAGAAATTTTGTGGACATTTTGTGGACAGTTTTGTCACGCGAGTCGGTTTCCAGCCGAATCTAGCTAAACGGAGGATCTCCGTAATCATTACCTTTCACGCGGATTCACAATTCGACTGCACGAAGGATTCTCGTGAAAACTTAACAAATGCGGTCGAACGAACGTAATTAACCGTAACATACACATACATTCATATGTACGTCGTAGCAACGTCTGACATTAACTATGAGTGTGTAGCGTTATGTAGCGGGAACACTCTTAACAGCTTCAACCGGTCTTAATTCAGTATGATACAGTCACGTGCTTTGCGATTCGTCTCGGTGAAACTATCTCCTGATACCTGTGGACAATCAAGACGACGAAATTTAAAAAGATATCAATTAAATATCATAGAATGTAATCATAGAATTCAGAGAAACCCAACTCTAGGCGAACATCTTTAGACATTTCTGTTTTACATAAAAACGATCAGCTCGATAATTACCATATCACGGAATTACCTTGATCACTGAAACCGAGCGACGCCGAAGTGACGAAGAGACTATTGGTTGAGCAGGGTGTTAGTCACCTCAGAGATGGACAGCAAAGGACTCCCGGCGTCCGGTTTGGAATCTGAGGGACAGTTGGGCCCATTCCCGCCGCTGATGATCCCACCGCGTGCTGATGCTGAGGGTGGTGGTGCGGAGGGTGGTACAAGGCGTTGCTGTTGCTGGTGTTGCTGTCCGGGCCGATGCCCATGCCGATTCCTGTCCCCGTTCCCACAGCTGACGGCGGTGTGCTGCAACCGAAAGAATTGTGTTTCCCCGTTATTTGCAACTCTTTTCGGATCTCCATTGTTTTATCAGCGTTCTTTGCTACATTTCATAATCCATTAACAACCAATATTAATCTTTTTTCGATGTTCAACGACGTAAGCGTAATCCTCTTCTTCTAATTGTAAGTGCAGTGAGTCAAAATAAATAATGCGAGAAAGAAATTCGTTCGGGTTTCGGAACGAATAAACGTGGACATGCAGAGTATGATTGAATCGATAGTGGTACGTTTGAGAGAAGTTTCGTGCATTACTTGTTACGTGCATGCCCAGAACAGTCAAATATCAAAGGTATCGAAGGTATGGTATATCACTTTTCGCGCGACTATTTTTAGTCTATCAATCATCTTGATGGATATTACGCTTGTGTAATGCTTCTAATAAAAAAAATTCCCCGTCCCCTTTCCACCCCGAGATTTAGAAACTATTTTTATTTAATTCGTCGAGGTTAACTCACGATAAGATCTAATCAATCAAGAATTCTCAACTCATTCGCAACAATGGAATAAGTTCTACGATATTTCAGCTATCCTAGAGGGATTAACGACTACCTGAAAAGTCATTCGTAATCTTTAAACTCATTTCCAGATGTCGGAAGAATTATAGAGTAGATGGAAGCGGTACAACGAGGTCGTCAAATTAGTCAGTGATTAAAGTTTACAACTTTCAATGATACCTACCTCGCTTGGAATCTTACGATCATTCTCCCCTCGTAGCGTATCTAAATAAAATTACCTCTTCGTATTTTTCAACGTATATTCCAGGAGTTTCTTGCAACTGTTATGGATAACAAAAATTCCAAACAACTGACGCAAGTGCCTACATGTGTGCAAAATGCGTATGGCTGAATACTTTCGTCAAAGGTCAGCAAACGTCAACCACTGACCGACTTTACAACCTCGCTGCACCACCTTGCGTCTAGTATGTTTTAAAATCTGTGAGGCAGCAGTGACACTCACTGGGGCGCGTGCCTTGGTGGTGCGGGGTGGTGATGGTGGTAAGGATAGTACTGGTAGTGGTGGTGGTGTTGCACTCCTTGCCATACCTCGGAGCCCGCTTCCCCGTGGCCATGGCCTGGATGCGAGTGCGCGTATCCGATAGTGCTGGCCGCTGCGGCCGCGGCTGCAGCCGCGGCTGCCGCTGCTGCCTGATACTGAGACGTGGTCACCGGATACTGCTGATGTTGATGCTGCTGCTGCTGCTGCTGCTGCTGTGGTTGTTGCTGTTGCTGCTGATGATGCTGATGTTGTTGCTGTGATTGTGCCTTGGCCCTCGGTGAACTAGGCGCGGTGGTCTGTTGCTCGCTGGGCGACGTTTGTCGCCATTTGCACTCGCCGTTCATGGAATTCATTTCCGCCAGCGACTTCAGTGGGTCTCCAGCCGTGGCATTAGTGGAGTGCGTAGAGGAATGAGTGGAATGTGGCGTGGGTGGGCTGTAGCTGCCGTTGTTTCTCGGCGGAGTACGCGCGGGAGGTGCCCCCCACATGAGGACGGTCTGTCGCGGCGCTTCGTTGCCGTAGACTTCCGGTTTCACGTCCTCTATCTTCGGAGTGAGGACGCCGTTCGTTGGTCCGGTCACCGGAGAGCTTCCAGCAGAATTGCTGGAGGAAGCTCCACCTTCCAGGGAGTGCCTGCTGCCGGCGCGTACGATGTTGATGTCCGCTGTTGCGGTGTGCATCGTCGACGCGCTTGCGACAGGACTGGCTGCGTACGGTGAGCCACTGACACTGCTAGGGTGTCTTGTTTCCACGTAGCTGTACTTGGGAGACTCGCCTAGCTGCTGACAGTAGAGCTTCTCCTCGGCTTTGCTCGTTAGTTGGTGCGTTTCGTAGGTGGGTAGCGAGACATCGATGAAACCGTTGTACGCGGTGCTCGTGTGGTACTCAGGATAGTAGGAGCCTAAAGGTCTGTATTGGAACAGGTTCTCCGTTGCTGCGGTGAGATATCTAGATTGGAAGACGTTTTACGATTACTTTGCATTCTCCTGAACTGACTGAAGGAAGGACTTTTAATATTAAAACTACGTCTTGAACTGTCCTCACCTATTGTCCAATGCAGTTGCCGGGTACAAAGTTTGATGATAGTTGCCCGTGTGACCGATATACGTGGTCAACGAAGGATCCGTGCTGGCTGCTACCGCTGTGGGTGCATAAGCAGTCGGGTACATCGTGTTCAAGTTGCTGTACGCCGCTGCAACTGCAGCTGCAGCGCTGGTATCGGCTGCAAGATAGTCCACGGATGCGACAGTAGGTGTGGCCGGCGGGGAAACGGACGATTGTGCGGTCAGCTTGGTACGTTTGTTCCGACAGGTCGACAGGAAATCTCTCAGCTGGGTCTTGTACCGCCTGTTCACTCTCTGCGACGTCGGTTGGCTGGGGAGTGTCGGCGTCATCACGGAACCTGTGAGACTATCGCTGTCCGAAAAGTAGCTGTTGGTCAGACCGGCGTCCAGGTAGCTCACTTTGAAGTCCATTGTTCGTTTACCGAGAAGATCCCTGCCTTCCTCCTCCCTGATAATTTAAGAAGAAGGAAATTATTTAAAGGAAATTGTTATTTCTTTGGAAACAATTAGTCTGACGGGAGATCAAATTGCTCAGTTTGCAGGGATACTTGCATGAGAGGTCGATGCGTGCTGATGACAAAGTCGGGCTTCGAGTTTTTGTAGACTAGCCTGGAACTAGTTTGCAGCCACTGCCATCCACCATCTTTCTTTTGGAATCTGTACGCTATCATTCCCGAGGCTCCGGTTTTCAATACTGAAAATTGTCATAGACAGATTCATCATCCATAGATTCCAATTTAATATATTCTCTCTAAATAACATTCAGATATTAATGTACATCACGTAGTTCATGTGATAAATATAAAAATGAGACAAATTTGTTTTGTCATTCACTAATATCTGGATATTATTCAGAAATTATCCAGTAAAGGAAACGTTGCAGAGATATAAATGAAATTGGAGGAATGCTTACGTTCTTGATGAGCGCTCGCGACGTACGCCAAATCATCGTAATGGACTAGATCATAGCCGCCGAGGTTCGCGAGTTCTGCGTCCGAATAACCCAGCAACATTTTTCCCCGTTGATCCATCGACACGAGCGCGAGATCCAGCTTGTGCTTGCTCTTGAACATCACGTCCTTTTGCGGAACTTCGAGCAACGACGGTGGTCCGAACGGCGTACACAGGGCAAACAGAGCCAACGGTGGCTCTTCCGTCTTTCGGTTTTGACCGTGCAGTATCTTCACTCGTCCCCTGATGTCCAAACGCTGCAAAAAAGAACAGACTCAGAACAAACTTAGAAGAAAAAGGCAACGAAAAGGAAGATACGATTTTCTCGCAGATTTCGAGCAGAGTAGTCCTAACTAAAAAGGTAGTTATCCATCGTCCCCGAGAATGAACGTAAATCAAAGCGTGGACAAAACCGAGTTTACCCTTTGGCGAGCGGCGAGCCGCAACGCGACAAAACACCAATTATCTTGCAGCCAGACAGCTAGCAAATACAGAGGTATACGCGGGACAAGTAGGGTTTCGAAGCTATAACGAAGAACGAAAAGGTGGACCGGGTCATAGGTCCACAATCGTGCAAAAAGGTCACCGCCTCAACGTATATATGAAAATGAAATTGTAATCGTAAAAGGTTTACGACGAGAGGGAAACATCCTAATCCACTTTGCGATACGACAAGCGTCATTTGTCGAAATTCATGTATTAAAGAGATTATAAAGATTACAATAAATCTACTCAAAGTTCGCTAGCTTCTTGATAATGGTCTTTCATTGTTCTCGTTATTCTACACATTAGTTTAACTTATCAAACGTCTTAATGCAATTTCTTACATGAAGAAAGTTATGGCTATAAATTGCATATTTTGTAAAATTTAAAAAAATTAAGAAGCTATTGTTTGTTAATCTAATCCTCAAGATCTAGATTAAACAAACTAATAACATCTAAGGTAGATACAGAGGGGGTTAAAAATCGCAGTGAAAACTGCCGATTGAGAACGTTGAGGCATGAAAAGTGTCGAGATATGAAAATGTGACGAGCTCAAGAGGAGAAGGTGGCTGCAATTCGAACCGCCAGATGTCGAAGAAAAACACGCGATAATTACGCGGTCGAACCGAGGAGGGGACTAGCTCCCTCCTCCGCAATTAACTCTATTATCGTGAGCTACGGGGTTAAACGTAGCTCACGCTGGCAATTATGAAAATTTGATGCCGTAAAAATCGGATCGATATCTCGCGACAGCCTATCGTCGTGAGGCCCGAATCGCTCTCTCCAGCTGCATATCGGCAAAAGAATCGGGTCGGAGAACGGATTTTACGGGATAGCGGGGGAAGATATATCCAGAACGGAAACTGTTTCTCCGCATGGGTCAACGGATCATCCTTGTTCGCGTGACTCTCTGTGTACGAAGGTTTCCATGAATGAACCAGAGTTACGTTGCACATTCACTAAACGAACGTGGAACTGTGACCAGGCATGCGAGATACGCACAGCTAAAGACCCGGTATCGATTCGACTGCTGGTAGAAACGGGCACGCCTCGGCTACATGAATACAATATCGGTACCGATGAGATGTTTTTGCAATCGTTCCCTTGCCTAGATCTAAATCTACTTTGTATGATATTTAAATGAGTTTCAAATGAGAGCAAGATTTTTAGCCTTGAAATGATCTACTTGGATAATTTTGAATGATTTTTATAACGATGGCCGCTAAGAGATTTGAAAGTGGCGAATCTTTCACGTCAATAAAATAATTTATAGTCGTACATATATGTTTGTAATTCACGAAGACAGTGAAGAAAATTCTGAAAATTGTATTCACTGAGCAGTGAACTCACCAGAAAGCCGGAAGTGTTGTCCAGAAGACACCGGAAACGGACGGTGAAGCTGCGCTCCAGAAGATGACTGTGCTGGGGTGAGAGAGCGTCGTGCAAGGGGAGGCTCGCATTCTCGGCAGGCAGAAAAGAATTCCACATGAGCTGCCTTTGGAGTTCCTCTCGATCTTCGCTGTGGACCAGCTCGTACACGCTTTGGTGTACGATGTCGGACTGAAACGAACGAAAAAGAGATATAAACAAGATTAATAAATAAGCTACATTTAAAGAGCTTTTCTATTAAAATTTTTAAAGTTCATCCCACGTACGAAGAAGTGATAAATATGCACAGAATGATAAACATAGATTTAAATGAACGTGTAGAAATAAAATTTCGCAACGCGCTGAAACTTCTCAAAAATAGAAACACCGAAGCAGAGTGGCGCAGTGGAAGCGTGCTGGGCCCATAACCCAGAGGTCCGTGGATCGAAACCACGCTCTGCTAAAGGGTTGTTGTTCCGTTTCTTTTTGCTCATACATATTTCTGTAATTTACAAATACCTACAACTAATTTTTATCATTAAAACTTAGCTAGAACGTGTAGATTCATACATATTTCTGTAACTTACAAATATCTACAACTAATTTTTATCATTAAAATTTAGCTAGAATGCGTAGATTCGAAAGAAAATTTATATTTTAGGAACTTTGCACCAGTTGGCTAGAAGCAATTTGCAGTAAAAAAAAAAGAGAGAGAGAAAAATAAACGACCTGAGAAGAAATCATCCCCCTTAGCAGAGCGTGGTTTCGATCCACGGACCTCTGGGTTATGGGCCCAGCACGCTTCCACTGCGCCACTCTGCTGTTCTGTCTGTCATTTCGTTAAACATGTTTTTTACGGAATTTATAGACAATAAATTGAAATAGATCAATAAGTTCAAGTTATCAAGATTAGTCTGGTATTATAAAATTTTCAATAATAAGAACGTGTACATGTAAAAGGGAGAGTTTATTTGTATATTACGTTCACATAACAATTGTTATGAAATTCACCTCGTTACCAGACATAAAACATAATACATATTGCAATATTTTTTTACGTAACAGATAATAGTGCATTTTATTATACATTAAGGAGTATAACTTTTTACGTATTCGCAAGTATGAATAGCGAGGTACAGTAATAAACTGAAATATACTTGCATTATGAACTCTCAAAACGCTAAATTTATTCAATTAAATGCATAAAGATTAAATTATTTAACATCTGTACTCATGAAAAATTATTAAAAAACTACCCTCAACAGAGCAGAGTGGCGCAGTGGAAGCGTGCTGGGCCCATAACCCAGAGGTCCGTGGATCGAAACCACGCTCTGCTAAG